TGAGTAACAGTTTCAAAATATCTAAACTTTTTCACTTGAGATATAATTTGATCTTCACTTTCAAATTACTACTAACTAACCTTTTGTCAAAATTACAATGCAAATAGTCTGTGTTTCTTTTACTCGAGGAAACCTTTCAACTCCATTGTTCTTCTCTAACTCAAGTTTACAGTTAATCTCTTCTCTTGTTCTCACAATAAAAACTATATCATTTGCAAAAAGCATGCATTTGGAGATTTTTTCTAAAATATACTCCGTCAAAACATTTAGGACCATATTAAATGAATAAAGACTTAAAAATGATTCCTAATGTAGCTCAATCCTTATAGGAAAGTTTTTTATTTTATTGCTAGACATTGTTATACTAGTTGTTGCCTCCTCATACACATCTTATAGCTCTAATATAGGCAACCTGGATTTCCTTCTTTTCTAAGGATTTCGAAAGTACTTTTCTTGGTACATGGTCATATACTTTTTTCAAATCAATGAAAACCATGTGTAAATCTTTACCTATGCATCAATACTTTTTCATTAATCTCCTTAATAGATAAATTACTTGTGTAGTCGGCCTACTTGGTATGAAGCCAAATTGATTGTCAGAAATACCACTCTCCAATCTCAACCTATGCTCATTACTCTTTCCCATAATTTCATTATATAACTCATAAATTTAATTCCTCTATAATTTGCACAATTTTGAATATCCCATTTATTTTTATAAAATATAAAAACTAAGGTGCTTCTCCTCCATTCATTAAGCATTTTCTTAAATTGTAAGATCTCATTAAATAATTTATTTAACCACTACACCTCCACATCATTTAGACATTTTCACACTTCAAATAGGGATACAATCAGATCCATTGGCTCTACTATTAGACATTTTCTTAAGAGCTTCCTTTATCTCACTATTGCGTATCCTTCAATAGAATGACAAATTATATTCTCCTTCACGAGTTACTAAATCTTCCAAGTTACTAGATGTGCCCCCTCTATTTTTGAAAAGTTTGTAAAAGTAGGTCTTCCATCTATCTTTAATATCACCATTTGTAACCAAAATTCTTCCTTCTTCATCCTTTGTGCACCTTACCTGTTCTAGATCTCTTGATTTTCTTTTCCTACTCTTATCAATGTTATAAAGTTTTTGTTTTCCATTCTTTTATCCCTTAACCCTTGTAAAACTCTTCAAATTCTTTAGAACGAGTTTCACTCATAACTTTCTTAGTTTTCTTCTTAGCCATATGATATCTTTCCCATTTTTCATCATTTTTGCACAAATGGATAGATTTTAAAACACTCATTCTTATATTTGACTTTTTTTCTATACATTATCATTTCATTACTAAGACTCCTTATCTCTCAGACTAAAAATTTTTTAATCTCCCAAAACTTCTTTAACAACCTTCCTTATCTTCTTAGCCATATCCTCCTACAAGATGCTAGCACTCCCCTAGGACTTCCAAATTCTTTTGGCCAAAAGATTTTGCTTGAAAATTTCCTGCTTCTAATCTTTTAATTGCCACCACCTAATTCTCAAATTTACCGCTTGTTGATACTTTTGATTTTTACTCATGATACACACATCGAGGATAAGGACCCTATATTGTGGTGTTACGCATCCCCAAGAATCACCTTACAATTTTTATCCTTCACCCATTACTTCCTAAAAATTTAAGGATCAAAATTAAACATGGATTGTCTAAATTATTAACACCAGTAATATATATATATAATAAAATTATTTTTTAAAAAGCACTCATTTCATACACAATTCTGCCTATATTTTATAGTTGATCACATGCTTAAATAAAAGTGTAGGGTTGTGCTAGCTCTTGACAGTCAATGTAAAATCTTATCAAATCTCACCTGAATATACATCTGGATATGGACTAATTAGATAAAAAAATAAAAAATAATAGAATAAAAGATTTTAAAGATGGAAAAAGGATTTTTTTATCCTTATTTAAAAAAATAAATATTATGGAATAAGGGGCTTTAGCAAATTTAGCCAATATTATGGGACCAAATAAAAATAAGAGCCCTACCTTTCTTAAATTTAAATAATAGCCATTTTATATTTTAGCTAAGATTTATATGACAAAACTACCCTCTTAAAATAAAACTACGCTATTAAAATTTTAATGTCCTAGCTTTTACTTGAAGACTCAAAGACAGAAGAGAGCATTGTAGTGTGAGCAAGCTACAATCACGATGGCAAGAGACAAATACGAGACAAGAGAGATCGACAGCACTCAATAGAAAGGTGTAACATCCTGAATTTTTAATCATGCATTAATGATTGATTATGAAATGAATTAATAATTTAATGTGAGATTAGAATTCTGGATAGTGGAATGTTATTTTGACTTGTTGGAATATTATATAAATAGATATGAGTAGAAGAACGGTGTCCCGTAGTAGTGAGTGTGAGGGTAGTGAGGATTTCCCTCATTGTGCCATATGCCATGGCTGAGGCTGGATGTGTCGGGGCGCATGGTGTTGAAACTTGATAAAGTGGGATGTGTACGTGAAAAAAGAAGATAAAAGGAGAAAAGGGCGGCCTGGCGTGGAAAAGAGAAGGAGGTTATGCTAAGGCAAGCAATTTCGAGAAAAAGGATGATGTTTATAACCTGTTACTTATCAGGTAAGTCTTGTACTGCCTTAACCTTTGATTATACCTTATTTTTTCTTAGTTTTAACTATTAAGAAATTGAATTTGGAAGTTTTAGGGAGATGATTTCTTACCTTATAGTAATAGAAAGGTCCTCTGAGACTAAACTAGTATTTTGTGACTGCTTTGAGTTGGAACAATAAAGCCTTAAAGCTATAGGCATAATTTAACCTAACCTAGAAAGAGAGTAGTGAGAGAGAACTTGGTTGTGAGGAAGTTGATGTTTTTCATAAGTGATAATTGGTCATAATGCATGTGAGTGAATGCAAATAAGGGAAATGGTGGTGATTAGGTGTTAAATTACTGTAATTGGCACTTTTAGTCAATAGAGTCATTGATTGTAGGTGCCTAAATTGTATAGGTTCTTACGTGCGACGAGTTGAATAGCTAAAGAAGCTTGAATAGGGTTGTGGAACACGAGTAACCATTTTTATTGAATAAAAAGGTTGAGGTAACTATATAGTTTGTCATATTTGTTAGCTCACATAACTGTGTAGAAGTAAAGGTATTATTGTTTTATGAGGTTTCATACATGAGTTTACTATGAAAGCAAGTTTAGCATGAAATTAATTTATGGAAAGAAAGTTTAAGGATTTCTAGCTTTGAATGAATATTTTTGTGTTATGTATAAAAGTGTATGGTGTAGAAATGTGAAAGAATAGTGAAACTTATGTGAAAAAGCATGATCATAGGGGGTGAGAGTTCACCCAGGGTATGTGTGGATATGTGTGTGTGGAGATGTGAGTGAATAAATCTATATGGTCAGGCTGGCACCATGAGACATCTGATACAGCATTATATGGGCTATTACCATGGGTAATCCGGTACAACATTATATTGGCACTATTACTATGGCACATCTAGGCAGTCTAGCAACTCTTTAGTATTCGTTAAGGTGCAGTTAGGAGTCAACGATGCCTCTATCACAAGTGTGTGACATGAGGGAAATTATAGTTCATAGGTGGGATAGATTACCTTTAGTCAGGTGTTTCTACCACTGAAAGTGTGCTCAGGTCAATGAGTGATTGATCTAGTAAAGCCTATAGTTTTGTGTCGGGGAGCTTTGAAGGATCAGTGGATAGATGATCATGTTGTTGTCCTGATTACGTGAAATGATTTGTGATAGAAAGCAAAATTGTGTTATTTTGACTACATAAACTATTGAAATGGTTTCTAGTTACTTTCATGTAGTTATTTGTGTTAGTAAACATTTATGAGCTATATTGGTTACTGAGATTTTGATCTCAGTTGTAGTTACTTATATTTTTTAAGTTCGGGCAATAGTAGTGCTAAAAGGAAAAAATTGGGATGAGAATAGAGATTTCTCTATAAAGCCTGAGTAAGAATTGGTGTAATGACTTAAATTATAAGTCGTATTGTATAAATGTATAAGTTGCCCTAGGACTCAAAAACATGTGCATATTGCTATGAAAGTTTGTGACATTTGATATTTAGTTCCCTAGCCACTGTGTATGTGTATGTGACAAAAATGGCAATGTGGGCTAGTGGATAAATGTGAGCATGTGTGAATACTAGGTATACTTGATGTGTATGTGGAATTTGGCCTTATATGATAATGAGTATGAAGAAATGTGAATTTGCCTATGTTGTATGTAATAGGCAGTTTATAGACCAATTATGTGTATGCATATTATATTGTATGTATAATTGGTCAATCAAGTATACATTATCCAATTGGACGTGGTTAAGGCCCTAAAGTTGGCTAATGACTTGTGGTTTCAATTGGTGATACTCAAGTGGCAAATTCTAATTTAAAATGATCAAAATACACCTAGGTGTCTAACTTTTAAATGAAGTATTAGATTGACACAAAACTAGTGTCATCAGTTAGATTTTAAAATAAGCTTCGTGTGGGAACTTGAATCACTCTAGTCGGACATCGGACGCAAAAATGATGCACTTTAAAAGTTCATATCGGAATCTGAATTTTGATAGCAAATTCTAATATGTGCGTTGCGGTGCATGTGACAATGAAGGGCAACAAGCCACGACACACAGCGCAGAGTGGGCAGTTGAGATCTCTATGCCACATGGCGAGATGCATGTGGCATGAGCCGTAGTGCATGGGCCCTGATCTAGCTTGAGTTGGTTGATTTGAATTTGTTTTATTATTGGCTTTGATGTGTTGAGGCATAGTACTTTTGCTATGTAGTATTTTGTAGTTTGAGTATTTATGAAAAGATTTTCAAAATGTTTTAGCTGGGATCCCAAACTTTCTAAGTAAATAGTTTTTGAATGAATTAGTAGATTGAGTAGGAAGTTGTATGGTAATATCGTTGAGGGCATTACAAATGAAGCATGCTAGCAGGTGAATGGAGCTATAGATTTAGCCAGGAAGCCATATGAACACAAGATGAGGGAGATCGGAGATACAACTTTTGCATGAAGCCATACAAAAGTGAAGCGAGGAATATCAGAGCTACAACTTTTACACGAAGCCACATGAACATGAGGCGAGGGAGATCGGAGCTACAGCTTCGGCATGAAGCTACACGAATGCCATCACTAGTTAGGGAATCAGCTACTTAGGTGGGGGTTTCCTAATCTTTTAATCTCAATTTCTTTCCAAAATTCCTTCAATCCAAATGTTAATACTTCTCACCGTCTCTGCCTCCCTCTCTCTATATATATATTTGGTAACTTTGATTCATCTCTCTCCCTCTGCCTCATATTTTATTTTTCTAGGATTTTATTACATTTGTGATTATATTAGTGGTATATGCTTGTATATCAATGATATACATCAGTGAAAAATTTGTTAATATCATAATTCCAGTTCTTGTATATCAATGATATATAGTTGTTTATCTATGATATATGATCGTTTTTCAGCAATGCAGAGTGATGAAGATTTTTTCCTAAACAATGCTTGAATTCTATGCCTAGAATGATGCGACTGTATGCCCACTAAGTTAATGGTAAAGTATTTAAAAGTGTTGAAATATTGAAGCGATATATGGGCCATGATTATAATCATTCAATTACAGTAGTTTTTCTATTCTATTACACAAGTTTTTTTTATTTGTTTTGGGGATAAAAAGGAAAAATATCACCCCCAACTAATTGTAAATGGGCCATATTCCAGAATTTTCGAAAACTTCTTCCATAATTTCTGGCTAATTTGTTTTTCAATACCATTAGGCCAATTTACTCATGAAATAATTATTATGAAATTACAAAAAATATAATAAGTCACGTCCATGGAACCAAACAAAATGTCTGTTAATAATAAAACATAAACCGTTATTTTTACATGAGGACGAGATTTCTCCCTTTCTCATGAAGCGCTAAATACACCATTATTACTCTTTTCCTAAACTTCTTCATATATCTCTCCAACTCAAATTTTGATATACACGCAACTTATGGCTGCCTCCAATTGGCACCATACTTTTCACTCACCCATTATATTATTTATAATATAGATACATGGGGGAGTTATAAATACCTTTTAAATAAGAAAAGAAATTAATATGTACATGTAAATAGTGAAGAGTAGGAAGCGAAACTGCTTGAGATAAGGGGAGAAAATAAATGGATAAAAAGCTAAAAGCATACAAAGAACAGTTGATTTTAACTCAAAAACTCAAGTGCCCGGTTCATGTTAGATATTGGCATCTTAACAAGACTAAAAAGTAATTAATTTCCTTGTTCAGGCTGATTAATAATTCTGTGTGTGATTATTAGGTAAAAGGAGTCCTACACGCAAATGTGCAAATGCCCTTGTCCTCCAGTATCTTGTCAATATAGGTGGCTTCCACAAATTGTTGCATTTCATGTGTCTTACAAAACCATTTCATTTGTATACTACATTTGTTGTCACTAACAAATTACTTAGCACTAACACAACGTTTTGATAAGATCATTTTCCTCCCCTTCCTTGGACTGAATCAAATTCGTACATCATGAAAGAGTTTCATTTGAGATTTTTTTTTTTGATTGATTCTTGAATAAAACTAGCCATTGAAAGATTAAGAAAACAGTATTGTGACTGGAAAAAAAAAATTAACAGCAATAACAGGGTTGAAGTGTGTTCTTACAAAATCATTGAAACAATTGTTATATTTAATAAATAAAAATAAAAGGACCTAATCAAAAATAGCTAGAAGTCTTGATAGTGACAAAGCTTCATCAATATTGTGACATAAAAGTTTTTTAATAGTAACAACAGAGCAAGCGTATTATTCCAAAATCATTAAAATCATTGTTATATTTAATAAAAAAATATGAAAAAACTTAATTAGATGTAGCAAGAAGTCGTGATAGAGACTGAAAAAACTTCATCTCTATAATTTCATAATTTCAAGATGGAAATGGAGGAAGAAAATATGGAAAGCAAATTTAACCAAGAACATACATGTAGAGATGGAAAGCATAAAAACTGTGTTGAAAGTACAAAGGAAAACGTATAGGATTGAGAAAACCTAACAGTTGAGTGAGTAATTTGGGAGAAAAAAAACTCTATTGCTATGTTTGGATATACATGAATTCGGATTTCAATTTGGATTTGAGCCAAATTCATTGTTTGAATAATTAAAAATGTATGGATTTGAATTTGACCCAAATTTAAATTCAAGTTCTACCTCAATCTCTTCATAATTTGAAATCTTTTTAAACCCTTATTATTTCAAATCCTAACTCAATTTCTTTTGTAATTTGACCCACATCCATGAAGACTTGATCGATATGCCAACGGTAATTAGACTAGACAACCTAAGTTGGCGGAAACAAGATGTCATCGTTAATTGGGACTAGACGATTAACTTCCACCAGGACCGAACAGACAGCAATGCCTAGGATGGGACGGCCAACTTCCACAGAGACTGAACCGATGGCAATGACTAGGATGGGATAGCCAACTTCTACTAGGATTGGACCGACAACAACAAATCACCTAATTAGAAGAGGCCAGAAATCGTGGTTGTGGCAAAACTTCATCTCTATAATTCTTTATTTTCAAGATGGAAATGGCAAAAGAAAATATGAAAAGAAAATTTAACCAAGAGCTTACAAGATAGAGATAGAAAGAATAAAAGTTAAGTTGAAAGAACAAAGAAAAATGGGAGAAATGTATAGGATTAAAAAAAGATGACCATGGAGTAAAGAATTTGAAAAAAAAAAAGTAAAAATAAACAAAGCTTTGTCACTTTCAAGTTTCAATAAAAGACTAAATTTCAAAATCATTTTGACAAAAAATTGGTGTTTCCACAAAATTAAATCTTGGTTTGCATACAAACAGAAAGGTAAGAAAAGCAGGAGTAATTGAGAAATTGAAAGGCAGATAATCTTGAAAAAGTTTCATGTGAGATTTTTTTTTTGATTGACTTTTGAATAAAACGAACTATTGAAAGGCTATGAAATCAATATTGTGACATAAATTTTGTTGATAGTAATAAAAGAGTTAAAGTGAGTTATGAGTTCTTGCAATGTCATTTAAACCATTACCATATATAATGAATAAAAAGAAGCCAAAAATCGTGGTTTTGACAAAACTTCATGTCTATAACTCTTTATTTTCAGGATGAAAATGGAAAAAGAAAATATGGAAAAAAAAATTAACCATGCACGTACAAGATAGAGCTGGAAAGCATAAAAGATGAGTTGGAAAACAAAAGAAAATCGACAAAACGTATAGGATTAAAAAAAGCTAAAAATGAAGTAAAGAATTAAAAAAAAGTAAAAGAAAACAAAGCTTTGTCACTTTCAAATTTCAATAAACGACTAAATATCAAACTCATTTTGAAAAAAAAATGGTGCTTCCAAAAAATGAAATGTTAGCATGCAATAAAATATAACGGTAAGAAAAGTTGGAGCAATTGAAAACTCTAAAGGCATATCATCTTGTAAAAGTTTCATCTATGATTTTTGTATTGACTTTTGAATAAAAGCAGCTATTGAAAAGCTATAAAATCAGTATTGTGAAATAAATTGTTTTAACAACAATGGAGTTGAAGTGAGTTCTTGTAAAATCATTTAAACCATTGTCATATTTAATAAATAAAAATAGGACCTAATAAGAAGCAGTTAGGAATCATAGTTGTGACAAAACTTCATCTCTATAATTCTTTATTTTTAAGATGAAAGTGGCGGAAGAAAATATGGAAAGAAAAATTAACCAATAACATACAAAATAGAGATGGAAATAATAAAAGTTGAGCTGCAAAAACAAAGAAAAATGGGGGAAACGTATAGGATTAAATAAAAGCTGACAATGGAGTAAAGAATTTGAAAAAAAAAGTAAATGTCAACAAATCTTTTTCACTTTCAAATTTCAATAAAGGAATAAATTTCAAGCTCATTTTGACATAAATTTGGAGTTTCTACAAAAAAAAAAATTAGCTAGAGAAAACATATCCGTGAAAAAAAAAAAAGATGTGCAATTTAAAACTCTACAGGCATAATATCTCGAAAATGTTTCATTTGAGATTTTATTTATTAACTCTTGAATAAAACAAGCCATTGAAAGAAAATGAGGAGCAATTGAGAAGTCTAAAGAAATACCATCTTGAAAAGCTTTCATCTGGGAATTTTTTGACTTACCTTTGAATAAAACTAGCTATTGAAAAAGGAGGAACAATTGAGAAGTCTAAAGAAATACCAGCTTGAAAAGTTTCGTCTGAGTTTTATTTTTACTTAATTTTGAATAAAATCAGCTATTGAAAGACTATGAAATTAGTATTGTGAATTAAAAAAACTTAATGGCAACAATGGGGTTGAAGTGAGTTCTTGCAAAATCATTTAAACCATTGTCATGTATAACAAATAAAAATAAAAGACAAATTTAAAAAAAGTCAGGAATCGTGGTTGTGACAAAACTTCATCTCTATAATTTTTATTTTCAAGATGGAAATGGCGAAAGAAAATTTAACCTTGAACGTACAAGATAGAGATGGAAAGAATAAAAGCTGAGTTGAAAGAACAAAAGAAAATAGGGGAAACATATAGGATTAAAACAAAAAAGTAAACCAAGCTTTGTCACTCTCAAATATCAACAAAGGACTATATTTCAAACTCATTTTGACAAAAATTTGGTGTTACCACAAAATGAAATATTAGCATGAGAAAACATAACTATAAAAAAGGGAGGTGGAATTCAAAATTCTACTGAAGTACCATCTCGAAAAGTTTCATTTGAGATTTTCTTTATTGACTCTTGAATAAAACAAGCTATCGAAAAAAGGAGGAGCCATTGAGAACTCTAAAGACATACATATGTCTTTTTTCTTTTTTTAATTAAAAAAACTTAGAATATGAAAGTCAGTATTCATCAGATTCTAGTATTGGTAATGATATTTTACTACATGGTTTAGGCCTAAATCACTATGGATGTGCGAGGGGATTGGGATTGGGTCCAATACCGATACAGGTATTCAGACGTTCTCGTTCAAGTCAAAGTATATCAAGCGCCTCTGCAAAAAATGAATTTGATCAAATGAGAGTAAGGATATCACAAGTTGAGGAGCAAAACAAAAAATTGCAAGAAGAGTTAGCTTTAGAAAGAGAAAGGATGGCTGTGAAAAGGAAAAGGAAAAAGGAAAGGGAAAGAGAATGGGAAAGAGTAGGAGTGTTCAAGATGTACTCGGCCCGACTGACCCATACCGGCCCATGCTCGTCTCGATCATATTGGGACGGGTCTATCCTGGCCCAAAAAAATTTAGGACGGAACTTTTATGGGACAAAGCCAAAATAGAGACGGGACGGGACTCGGCCCATCCATCGGGACGTCCCGTCCCGTCCCATTTATATTCAGTATATATATACATATTTTTTTAAAAAAAATTAACTATTATTTATTTATTTTAATTAAACTAATTTTTAATGTTATTTTTAGCTTTTTCGAAACAGACACGCGGCAGAGAGACCATTTTGAAGTTCATTTTTCCCTTTCCACTTTCTAGATCCAGACTTCGGTACTCGGTAGTTCGGTTTCCATCTTTCCCTTCCATTCCAAAGCCCTAACTCCAACTCCAATTCCAAAGATCCCTCTGCTACAGATCAGTCATCCAGCCACAGAGACAGAGCAGACCTTCGGTCCTTCGAAAGGACTCCTTCACCTAGGCAGTGAATCTCCTTTCTGAATCAGTGAATCTATTATTATTCCCTTCGTCATGACTCACGAAGTCTTTCTTTGTTCACGTCTTCCATATCTTTAGCGGCAAGCTTCCACATCTTTCTATGTCTAAGTTCCGAAGCACAAAGACGAGAGCTGACGCCTTTGCCTTCATGACCTAGATCACGCCTCTGTCTCCACCTCCACACCTCCATCTCGAGCTACAGTGCAAGGTATTTGTTGCCTCAACCCAGATCTCCACCCAAACCTCTGTCCCAGGCTCCCAGCATTGCCTCATATTTCTATAGCTATTATTCTCTTCAACCCAGATCTGGTGCTACCTCAAATCCATTGTTTTCCTCATCGTCCTCAAATCTGGTTCGTTTCATTATTGATTTGTTGTCTTGTTGAATGCTGAGAAATAAATTAATAGGGATGATTGAGCTTGTGCTTGGCATTTCGTGTTGATAAAGTAATACCCATGTATATCGTCTTCTGTGCTAATGCCTTTATCTAGTCCATAAAAAATATATATGCCTATGTATATCCTTTTCTGTGTGTGAGATTTTATAGTTTCATTGCTAAAGGCAAATACTATTTATATTTGAAATGTGGTGAATTGTAGATTGACAAAAGTAGATACTTCATTACAAATGTAGTATCTATATCCATGTTTTAATTAAGTTGATTATATTAATTTCCATGTTGGAATTCTATTTAACAAGAACAAGAAGTGGTGGTGCTTCTAACTGAACCTGTTACATACACAATTTTATTTGCCTCCTCTGGATTAAGTAAAGCAAATATGGATCATATAAATTATTTAAGTATGTGGTTACATGATTTAGATTATTTACATGTGTGGAAATTTAATGCCCTTGATTTTTATGCATGCCTATTTGAATATTTAATATGAGGTTTTAATCAGTTAAGGGTTGTTGTTGTTGCTACTGTTGGCCAAATCTACATTGTGAAGAAAAATGGCCACTACACCCACCCTTCAAGAAAATGTTGAAACAATAGAAAGAGATCCTGAAAGTGCTTTATCACCTGATACTGAAGAGGAAAATGAGGGAAATGAGTCAAAGAATGAAGGAGAAAGTGGAAGAAAGAGACGTAAATCAGTTGTTTGGGCACATTTTAAAAGGTTGCTATTGGACAAAACTAATGGAGAACCCTGTGCTAAGTGCAAGTATTGCCCAACAATAATTGGTTGTGACTCTACAAGACATGGGACAAATGGAATGAGAAAACATGTAAAAAAATGTCCCAAAAATCCGAACAAAGCAAACAAGTTGGCACAATCTTTGCTATTGGGCTCTCGATTAGGGTCATCTAAAACTTTGAGTCATCATCTATTTAATCAACTCGATTGTAGACAAGCCATTGCTATCTTTGTGATATTGGATGAGATGCCTTTTAATGTTATGGAAGGTGATGGTTTTAAAGAGATGATGAGAAGGTTAGAACCTCGCTTTAAAGTCCCTTCAAGAGCGACAGTTACTAGAGATTGCTACAAGCTGTACCTTGAAGAAGCTAGAAAGTTGAAAAGGTATTTTAAAAAATCTCAAATTCGTGTTTCACTCACTACTAATACTTGGACTTCCAATCAAAATGCCAATTATATGTGCTTAATTGCTCACTGGGTTGATGAGCATTGGACATATCAAAATCGAATCTTGAATTTTTGTGTAGTTGAAATTCATAAAGGAGAAACAATTACTCAAGAAATTGAGAAATGCTTGCTAATTGGGAGTATTGATAAGGTGTTTACAATCACAGTTGATAATGCTTATTCTAATGACATTGCTTTGGCATCTTTAAAGGGAGTCTTGAGGCATTGGAATGGTTTAGTTTGTGATGGGGAGTTCTTGCACTTGCGTTGTTGTACGCATATCTTAAATTTGATTGTTTCTAATCGTGTGAAGGATATGCACAAATGTATTGAAGGCATTCAAAATGCCATTAAATATGTGAGATCTTCTCCATCAAGGTTTCATAAATTCAAGGAGCTTGTGGAAAAAATGAAAATTGATTTAAAGAGGCTACTAAGCATAGATTGTCCAACTAGATAGAATTCAACTTACATCATGTTAGAGAGTACAATTAAATTTTGCAGTGTTTTTAAGAGGATGGAGCAGCAAGATAATGATTATAGAAACTTTTTCTTAGATAAAAATTTGATTGGTCCCCTTAATGATAATGATTGGAAGGATGCAAAAGATTTTGTGATCTTTTTGAAAGTGTTATATGATATTATTTTGTAATTTTCAGGATCACTTTATGTGACCTTAAATGTTTGCTTTCAACAGATAGTTGATGTCTTTGCAATTTTATATAAAAGTGAAAACAATCATGATTCCTTGCTTTGTGATATGGCTAAAAGCATGTTGACCAAGTATAATAAGTATTGGGGGAACTTAGAGAAACTTAATCTTTTGCTCGTGGTAGCAGTAGTACTTGACCCAAGGTATAAAATGAAATATTTGCAGTTTGCTTTTGAGGATATGTTTCCTGAGACTACACAACGTGAAGCTATGACAAAAAAGGTCTCAGATGTCTTGTATCGTTTATATAATCATTATTCAAGTGGGGTTGACACATCTCAAACTCAAAGCTAGAGTCAGAGTCAGACACAAGAAGTAAGTGAAAGTAGTTTGACTCAATCACTTGGATTAGAAAAGGCCTTTAACTTTCTTAAGTTCTAGGTCTAGGGCTTCATTTTAAAGGTTTCTTGCCCAAAAAGAGATTGAGGTTCAAGCAGATAAGTATGCAGATGTGGACAAGTATTTGCACGATGAGTTAGCTAAAGTACTTGATCCAAATTTTAACATTTTAACATGGTAAAAATTGAATTCGGCTAAATATAAAGTCCATTGATTGCATGTGATGTATTAGCCATGCCCGTTTCTACTGTGTCTTCAGAATCTGCATTTAGCACAAGAGGTCGTGTAATTGATGATTTTAAGAGCTCCCTATCTCTAAAGATGGTTGAGGCACTAATTTGTGCCCAAAAATGGCTATCTCCATCAACTGCGAAACTAAAAGGTGTTGATATTGATAATTTTAACGATACAGAGCAAGCTGTGGAAGGTAATATCATTTTTTATATTTGATTATTTATTTTAATATGATTTAACTTTTTGTTTATTTATATTTAATAATTTTTGTTTATATTGTGCTTATTGTTTTATTTTCAGAAGAATCATTAGCTTCAAATATCTTAGTTGAAGAGGAAGAGCAATGAGTTGAAGTTGTGCTTGGGGCTTAAATTGTTGATTCTTGACTTGTTGTTGCACTTATTACTTAGAAGTTACTTGTCTTTGTTAAGCTATATTTGTTAAATTGTTGTTGTTATTTGTCTTTTGAATGTTACTGCTGCCTGCTGAAATGTTCTTTGTAGACTTGATTTAATTTGATTTTCTGTTATTTCTTTTTTTCCTTTAGTGGGAAATCTTAGTATTTCTAAAAGCATTCTTTTTTTTTTAATTTTTTTCTACATGACTAAGCATATTCTTATGGGAAAAATGGTGGCATTGCTGGTTGAGACTACATTGTATGAAGAAGGTCGAGAAAAAGTGGCAGGTTTAATACCTTGACATAGTATAGCTTTGCTTACAAAGCATGCAGTCAATTTGTGTCCTCTAATTTGTTTCTTTCTTTGCCATAGCAATTTCTTTGCCATAGCAGTCAATTAGTACTATAAAAATTAGCATAACAAAATATATTTAATTATATAATGATTATGTTATTAGAGTAATTTATTCACAATCATTGTTGTTGTACAGTGTAAAATTAAATGATTTTTTAATTATTAAGACTAATTAATTTGTTAGAAATTAATTAATGAGTTAAAATTAATATTATAAACTTTATTAACTTAAAGTTACAATTAAACTACATAACAATAGTTAATAATGTAATAAATTTTTTGTTAGAACGATTAATTACTTTTAATTATTAATAAAAATATTTGATTTTGTTAGTGTAAAATAAAAAATAAAAAAATGAAATTAAATCATTTTTTAAAATTAATAAGCGGGGCAGCCACATCTTCGACGTGGGTGAAAAACGTGGCTTTGCTTAGCAAGCCACATTTTCTTACCCATGAAGCCATGTTTTTTTAAAAAACGTGGCTTTATCTGTTTTTTATATATACCTTCCTTTTGTCTTCATTTGTTGCTCGCTATATCTATCTTCTCAAAGTTATGATCCCCTCTGACTCTCATTTCTTTTCTTTATGTAAGTTATTCATGATTTCATTAATATTTTTCTTCATTTTGTTTCTTATTTTGTAAGTAAATTTCTTATTTTATCTGTATTTTTCTTACTATATCTGTCTTTTGTATTTTTTTAAATTTTCCAATTTTATTTTTTTTGTTTTATAAATTGGGAAATCTTGTATATTAATAAGATATTTAAAATATTGATTAAAAATATTTTATAAGTAAAAGCAGAAATATATACATCAACCAGTAACAAAAATAATTTAAATAATTTGTATTAATAATTTGATTAGAAAATAATTAAAATTTAATTATCAAAAACAATTTTAAAATTAAGTTGTGCGAAATAGTTTTTCCAAAATACTACAAAAAAATAATAATATAATATAATAATTTGTAGTATTTAAATAGCTCAAAAGCTTGTGGAAAGATTTAAATTTCCAAAAAAAAAAATATCAGGTCAGTAGCCACATTTTTTGAAAAACATGGCTTTAATATAATAATATGTAATATTTAAATTATTAGAAAACTTTTAAAATATATAAATTGCTGCAAAAAATGTTACTAATTTTTTTAAAATAAACTTAAGTGGCCACGTTTTTTCAAAAAATGTAACTGAAGTCTGACAAAATCCCAAGTTAGCAATAGCAACGTTTTTTTTTAGAAAGCATGGCTTTTGGCCATGTTTTTTTAAAACCGTGGCTAGATTCTTGTCACGATTAAAATGGCCACTTTTTTTTTAACCGTTGGTATGAAGCTTTGCCATGTTTATCATGGCTAAATATTGACTTAGTTGTAGTATACCATCTTGAAAAAGTTTCATTTGAGATTTTTTTTGACTGACTTTTGAATAAAATCAAGTATTGAAAGACTATGAAATCAGTATCATGACATAAAGTTTTTTAATAGCAACAACAGATTTAAAGTGAGTTCTTGAAAAATCATTGCCATATTTAATAAATAAAAATAAAATGATGGGGAAATTGTAATTTTCCTTATTGATTGATTGTGGAACAAAGGGCTTACAAGAATAAACAAAGGAAGGTAGGTGAGAATCAAGCCACCGTTTAGCCTCTAGATTATAATCCTAGATGTAATTGAATAATAACTAAGATAATGATAGCTGTAAAAATATCCCTTAATACTAGAAAAAGACGACAAACCTAGAGACTAGGTGAAATGGAAACAAGAGCTATGGAAATGGAAACATGAATGCTGCATTCACGTCTTAGAAATGTCCTAAGTTAATAACATTTTAAAATCAATTTGTAATGTGTGTGACCTTCATTTTAATCCTTTTATTTTCGTTCGCCCATGGCAGTATAAATAGGGCACAGGTTTCAATATAATAGAAGCTAATTTTTAGTGAATAAATAAAAGTTTCTTTTTCCATTCGGTTTCGAAACCATTTTGATATCAGAGCTAGTCTAAAGAACGAAAGAATGAGGTAGAGTTGATGAACTACATCAAAGAGGAAAGAAACTCAGAGGAAGAGTCCCTGACTTGCTCGAACCCTACATTCGAGCTGTTTCTTTAGAAACTAACATTACCATCATGCTTAAGAGGTCCAAAAATGTGGAACAGGATGTTCACTGTTGTTGTAAGACGCCGCACGCATCCTCACACACCACCACCAGAGACACAGGGGCCCTCAACATCATCCCACGTGCCGCACGCACCTGCTAGAGGTTGAAGATAATAACATCATTTGCCATGTCATCTGACACATCACACTTCTAATCATTTAAAGATAGGTCAGCCTAGTCAGGATCTGCCACTTGTCAACACAGCTATGTCATCCTGCACAGTCAGCCCTATTTTCCAAAATTATAGTTTAACCCCAAATCTTTTGATATTTCCAATTTGACCCTTAAACTTTATAAAATTCCATTTTAACCCTGAAGTTCTCAAAATTCCATTTTGGCTCCAAATCTTTTTAAAAATTACAATTTGACCCCTTAACTTTACATAAATTCCATTTTGACCTGATTTTTTAAAATTACATTTTGACCCCTATACTTTCCAAAATTTCCATTTTACCCTATACTTTTTGAAATCCCCGTTTTTCCCCTATACTTTCTAAAATTCTCATTTTGCCCCTATATTCTTTCAACATTTTCATTTTAATCCTAAATCTTTCCAATATTCCTATTTGCCCTCAAATTCATCAAAATTCTCATTTACCCTAATTTTTGTCAAAAATTCCTTATCCTAGCCTTAACTCCTAGCAAAATGTCTTCAAAACGTAGGAATGTGCATGAGGTTGAGATGAAAAAAATGAGACGTAGGATATGAGAGTTGAAAGTGTAACATCTCAATTTAATTTTAATAGTCTTTTTGAGCTAATTGAAACTTTGAAGAGATATTTAGAGGCAAGTAAATTAGTTAGAAAATGATTATTGAATTTAATTTAGGATATAATTTTGAATTAAGATTTTTAAAAAATAAATATATAATAAAATAAATAAATATCAATAAGGGTGAGAGAGTGACAAATGAATGTATATCATAAAAAATAGAGAAACAGGAGCCACAGTTTCGGGAAAGGTGTGGGAAGATATTAACACACACACACACATTAATTAAGGAGGTGAAGGGAGTGGGACCCACATGAATATTTTACTCCCACGTGGCCACACAAAATGTAATTTGACCCTCTACCCCTCTGGGAAGAGGGTCTCTCCACTTTTTTTTCCTCCACTTCCCTTCACTTCTCCCATCTCCACCACTCATTAATGTTATCATTTAAAAAATTTATTTAATAAAATAATTTGAATGGTGGGGATGGAGGAAGTGGAGGGAAAAAAATGGAGAGACCCATCTCCCCTCCCCCCCTCCTAGTTCGTTCCATTTCTTCCGCGTCGCTCAGAGTCGTGAATCACACAGGGAAGAGACTGGGTGTGAGAGAGAGCTTCATATTGGATATTTTAAGTGAGATTTCAAGTATTTTAAAATTAGATAAATATTTTAAACATTTTTTTCAATCATATTTTTTCATGAGTTTCAGATTTTTGGATTTTAAAAAATTTAGGATTTAAAAGAGGGATGAATTTTTGATGAATAAATTTAATTATTAAAGTTTTTGGTAGTATAATAAATATTTTAGAATATTATTTTGCTAATAGAATTTGAATTTAAGGCTTATGGGTTAAACCCTAAACCTTTTTGGGTAAATTTTTGGTTAAATCTAAAAATATAAATTAATTTGTTGATATTTAGATGATTATTTGGGATAAGAATAGATTATTATGGCTATAGAATGATGATTCTAGGCTTGAAACTAAATTTGCAATTTTTTGATATTTTTAGGTGCGATTTTTTTGAAATAAAAAGGAAAATTTTGATATAAGAAAAGTATTTGAAGGATGATTTTAGTCAAACTTAAATAAAACTAT